GCTGATTCCTTCTACTCTGTAAAGGCCAGACCCTAAAATGTCAGCAGAGAGACGTAGGAGCTATACGTGTCTTCTCGGTGTTACAATATCCAGGATCTGATAAGCAATGTACGTCTGATATGAGCGTACAAAATTAATGCTAAGCGTGTGTCAAATTGAAACATCGACGCACGCAGAAGATCTGAGTTTAATTCTCAGGTGTATATTGTGTATGTATTGTGTGTGTGTGGGGGGGGGGGGGATTATCTACTATAAGTACTGGGAAGTTGTTTACCTGTCTTCCCAGTTTGGATGTGTTTATGAACGACAGCTTCGAAGCGTGCCTCCTAAAATGATTTTAATCTTGTCAATGTAAGCGTAATAACACGTAGGTTTCCACTTTAAAAAAAAGCCTTCAAAGAAAGTATGTCGCATATCGCCAGAAGAAGAATGGTAGTATTTTAAAAAGGAGGTAAAAAACTAGTCTAACCTGTAGTTGCTGTAATTAGAGCGCACAGTGTTGTAGCCTCGAGGGTCCGTGTCGAAGTTCCGGAGCTCCCCGGTGGGAGAACGATCAGTGAGGATAGCACCATCGTCATTGTAGTAGCCGGGCCGGTCAGTGTAGTAGCCCAGGCTGTCGCCCATAGGAGGCATGGGGTTGCCCTTGTACTGGTGGGCCAAGGGGTGAGAAATAAATAAAAAAAAAATAAAAAAAACAAAATCAGCATTAGTGTCAGGACGCGGTTTGAATTAGGTGCTCCTTAATTTTTGGACAGGTGGAGTTATTGGTATCATTTAAAAGCTTGTTCATTAAATTGCCTTGCTTCCGCTGACACATGCCCATGTCTCATGAATAGAAGTCGAGAGATTTGCGATTGAAAGAGGTGGGGGTCGCCTGGTTTCCGAGGTAAAATTTGCGAGATAATCGCAGCCAACGTTGGGCGACTTCCAAACCCCGGGTCGGCGATGCGCTTTTCCCTTTCGTCAACCCGCAGCCACCTCCCAATCGTCAGCCACCCCCAACCTTTGACACGGGTCAAACTTCCATCTATTTATAGGTAGTTAAATCTACCGGAACATGTATTAGGCGAAGTGATGTGCAATGATAGTCGCAATAGAGAGATTGCTTTGGTCTCTCTTTACTCATCTGCACCACACGAATTTAATTGATGTTTTTCCCTGGACTCTGCCTTTACTAAAGTCTCGAATCTAGATCTAGTTGTAATCTAATTGCAGGTTGCAGATTTAATAAATTGCCGACAGAGAGAGAGTGAGAGAGAGAGAGAGAGAGAGAGAGAGAGAGAGAGAGAGAGAGAGAGAGAGAGAGAGAGAGAGAGAGAGAGAAGGGGGAGGAGTAGATCTTGCGAGACCTTTCGGGCAAAACGAAATGGTGACCCGCGTAGTTCGGTCGATTCGAAAAGTGAAAGAGCCATAGCATCTTTGTAGACGATCAAATTAGCTTACTTTTGTGCTATAACGTCATTTTTTTTTCTTTGCCTTTGTCAATTTGATCATCCACACCGATAGAAAGCATTTCGAAATTAGGAAAAACAGGTCTTGTTTCACACTGGGTGAGAATAGCCAACGCTGGCAAGTCTCACCCGGGGTGAGAGGTCAATCGTAGGGTTTTTATTCTCACCCCGGGAGAGGATAGCAATAGCCACTTCCTTACTTAAATGATTAGGTGATTAAACTTGATCTCTTATTGACAATATAAAAGTCAATTTAAGCATCATTTCGTTAGAAAACAATGTGTTAGGTTTGCTAACTTCATAGACTTTGTGTTAAACAACACTTTTAACAAAACGAATCCTTACAAGCCTAGGCTTGGCCTTTGTAATCTCGAAGGTTTAGAAGTAGAAGAAGAAGAGTCTACTACTAGATCTAGAGTCTAGTCCAATTTATTTAATCTCTGGAATGTACTGGATAACAACAGAAATCTGCAACCTGCCACTAGATTACAACTCTAGATCTAGATCTAGATCTAGATTCGAGATTTTAGCAAAGGCAGAGTCCAGGGAAAAACTTCAAGAAATTCTCGTGGTGATGAGTAAAGAGAGACCAAAACAATCTCAATAAATAATATATCGCGACTATCACGGCACATCACTTCACCTATACATGTTCCGGTAACTACCTATAAATAGATGGAAGTTTGACCCGTGTCAAAGGTTGGGGGTGGCTGACGATTGGGAGGTGGCTGCGGGTTGACGAAAGGGAAAAGCGCGTCGGCGATCAAAGGCAATATCGATACAATATTTCAAACTATCCAACTTTTGTTTTTTGCGGAAAAACATCCTTTGACATCTGTTCTATCGAGTAAAAATGAAGAAACTGTTGAAAAAACACCCTAAATGATCTAAAAGGGCGCTTGAAAAGTGCAAATTGCTCTAAAAATCCTTTTAAAAATCCCTGTTTTTTCTGTTTTTCTCAAAATCTACTTGTTGACATATGTGACCTCCTGGGTGCAAGGAGTTTTCAAAAACTATAAAAGCTAGAAGCTTCAAATTTGGTGTACATGTGCTTTAAGATCGATTCTGGTGATCTATGGCAGGGAATGGGGAAATATTGGTAACTTGAGGAAATATTCAATTTTTTTGTAATATGTACCCCAAAATTTCGTCAACTGACTCTAGAGCATCCAATGACTTTGGGCTCACTTTTTTAGTTTTAAAGATAGGTCAAAATCCTTACATAGATACCCACTTCATGTAGATTTGTACTTGTGTGCCAAATTTCAGGCTGATAATTCAATATTTACTATGAAAATCGTCTGCACTAAGAAACTGGTTTGAACATTCAAGATGGCCGCCACAGAGACCCATTTTTCAGAAAAATTGAACAAATTCACCCTTAGTACATCCTATTTACCTATGAACTTCTTGCACAATTACATGAAATTGAATAGAAGTCATTCGTTTAGAAAATTTTTCCAGGAGTGTACGTCTCCCCGTACAACCAGATATTTTATATTTTGTGCCTTCAGTCTACATTATCGGTAGAATCCTCACTAACGTGAGTTTTATAATCAATTTTGGTAGTGTTGTGTCAAAAAACAAAAATTCGATTAAAATATTGCACAACGGACAGAAAAATGCCAGTTTCTTCGAGTTCATTATTTTGACGAACGCTTGATTTCACCACGAATTAGGAATTTGAGTTGATCACCATCAAGTGCAGGTAACTTTCGGCAATGGGTCACTTTAATACTGTAAAGGTATCCACTGCTCAGATCAGTCAAAATATTGAAAGAATTTTGTTTTCGGATTTTGGAGTATCTTTATAGACTGTATCAAGAATCCATCTTTAGAAGCCTAATCTCTTTATCAAACTTATAAAGAGCTGGAAAATGCATTTGAGAGAGGTAGCAATGTAGGCAAATCTTCACAAAAAATTATCTCTCTTTGCAGTTTTCTCAGAATTGTTTATCTGACCAGGCTGCAACACATTTTGAGTAGTTCTCAGAAAGTGACCATCAGAATTAATTATTCAAATTTGCACATAATCTTTTATACACAGATATCTATGACCTTATATGTAGTTAGCCAAGGGTACGTTGCTCCTTTGAACGTATTAACAACATAGACGTGAATATTGTGTCAATAGTTTCTCCGGGGTATTTATTGTCTTTATCTTAGTGTTTCAAATGTTAGATTCTTACAAATTAAATAAAAATTGTGAAAGAAATCACAAAAAGTATATATATAATGGTGTTACGAAAGTAGATCTTTAACAGTATTTGCTAGCAACTGTCGCACATTTATTTTGCTCAACTTGCTGGACACTAAAATAGAATTCAAACAGGATGTTATTAATCATATATCACCACCAAGTATTGTTCGATAAGACAGTTGATCGAATGCTAACTGGGATCAAGAGAAAACTTGGCAGCCGCAAACAAACCAAAATCGATCAGAAGGTCTATACAATGGAGCAGTACACCAATAATGAACTGATCCTTCAGGAGAGAGAGAGAGAGAGAGAGAGAGAGAGAGAGAGAGAGAGAGAGGGAGAGGGAGAGAGAGATAGAGACAGAAAGAGAGAGAGGAAGGGAGGGAGAGAGAGAGCGAGAGAGCGAGAGAGAGAGAGAGAGAGAGAGAGAGAGAGAGAGAGAGAGAGAGAGAGAGAGAGAGAGAGAGAGAGAGAGAGATTATTTCTTGGGGCATTGACAAGCTATTGATAAACAGCTGAATTGGTAGAGTAAACGGATCGTACGCGGTGCTTTTTCGAATTTTTCAGAGATATTCTATTTGCGAAAATAGTTTTTCTGAAATTACATCTTTTGATGACTAAAAGAGCATTTGTTGGAATTCAATATGGTGAAATTGTTTGAGGTTTGAATATCACATAAACAACATCAACAACAACAACAACAACAACAACAACAACAACAACAACACCACCAACAACAACAACAGCAACAACAACAACAGTAATGACAATACAAACAGCAATGACAACAACAATAATAACATCAACCACAAACACAGCGGCAGTGTCAAACCAACAGTCTTAACATCAGCAAAAAAACATTAACTGCTTTTGAACTTTAAGGAGCTTGCCAGATCAGCGCAAGAAGTGAATGATCAGTGATCATGATTGACAGTGTCCCGTAGTGAACACTATCTAATGAGCTATAAAGGTAGCATAATGTATATTTTTTAAATTCACAACAGCATGGCAACGCGTATAGTGTACTTGTTATGGTTTTGATGAATCACGCCCTCGTTGAAATGAAAACAACATTGTTACGGTCTTTCTTGATAAAGAATAGATAATGGTGAGCATTTGTTTCAGACAGATGATGAAGTTTCTGAACGAAAGCAAATGATTCTGTTAGCAGTGGGGTTTGTAAACAGACTAACTTCTTGTGGTAAGTTATCTCTTGATCCACCAAAAGTTACAGAGGAAAAACACACGTGTTTTGTTTGAGAAGGATCTCTTTGACTCGGCATTTATATACTGACAAACATTCTAAACAATAATGAATTTACGTTTTATAAATTCAGTTTACTCACAACTATAACAATAACGTTAAACATATCTAAGACGGCCACCCATTGTCGAGGACAAAAGGAAGTGGCCTCATAGAAAGATGGACGACTTACACAGTATAAATATGATCTAAAAATACACAAGGGAGGAGATGCGATGTTGCAGTTTGTTTGGGTGATTGTCTTACACACGTGGCCGTTAGAACATGTTCGAATGTATAAATAAGAAAGAAGCCAGACATATATCTTTATTTAGTACGTATTCTAAAAAGTCAAGCTATAGTGTCGGGGATTCAATTCCTGTAAAATAAATTTTGTTTTTTACTGGTCCTTAGAAGTCGTTTTCCATAATATGTTAAGGGATTTTACGATGTTGTTGACGTTGTGGTGACTTTGATTTCATTTTTAAAAATATATTCTAGAGGAGGGGGGGTTGGAATGAGGTCAAAAGAGTGGTATCGGTAGCCTTGTAGGATTGGGGGTTCGGGAAAGTCGATCTCAGCCTTACATTGTGTCCTTGGGAAAGGAACACATTTTTTATTTGACTCCATCCTTTCGGAGGTAGGCGTAAAACTTGGAGATATTTATAATATTGATAGGGGCGTTAAACCTATACCATTTATTGAGGTCACCGAAAAAACCCACAATTAAAAACATCACCCCACCCCCTTTTCAACAAAATACAAAACAAAACAAAGCAAAAAATAGTTGCCTTACGTCGCTGATGTGGTACTCCCTCCTTGGGGAGATCATAGCTGGGGCTTTGGCGTTTGGCTGATGATGGTAAGGCTCCTCCTCAAACCTAAGATGGGACACGTTGTAGTTGGGTGTGGGTGGTCCGTCTGGCCTAGAAGCCTGGCAGAATGGGGAACACATTCCATAATGTAAGTCATGATTATTTTGATTTTACAAGAGCACCAGTGATTGACAAAAAGTAATATTATGTGTTCATAATGATTTTTTTCTCTCTCCGTCTGTCCTCTTTCATTCTCTAGTTCTCTCTCGTTCTCTCTCACCCTCTCTCTCGTTCTCTCCCCCCCCCTCTCTCTCTCTCTCTTTCTCTCTCTCTCTCTCTCTCTCCCTCCCTCTCTCTCTCTCCCTCTCTCTCTCTCTCGCTCATTCTCTCTCTGTACCAATCTATCTATCACTCTCTTCCTCTCACTTTTTCTTTCTCTCTGTATCTCTCACTTCATCTCTCTCTCTCTCTCTCTCTCTCTCTCTCTCTCTCTCTCTCTCTCTCTCTCTCTCTGTGTGTGTGTGTGTGTGTGTGTGTGTGTGTGTGTGTGCTTCTTTCTTCCTCTCACTCTCTCTTTCTCTATCTGTATATCTCTCTTCTTTCTGCTCCCTTTATCTTCGTGTTTTCTCTACGCCTGTTAACCTGGCTGTCTCCCAGTCTGTCTATCTCCATATCTATGTTTCTCTTTCTGTTTCTGTCTGTTTGCCTGTCACTCATACTGTAAAATATATCATGCATTTATAGTCAAAGAGGATTTAGAAATATTCCACTTAAAATTGACCGTCAGCGCATCATACTAATTTTTCTGCTCCCTACAGAATTTCACAATTTTCTTGTCTGTGGAATTTTAAAAACAATAATAATAGCCCTCTTCAGGCCACATATTTCTTCTTTACTGAAGTTCAAAATGTCACAGGTATTCAAATTTGAATGAAAAAGCTGTTGGGCCTATGAAGACACAATAAAAGCATTATTATTGGCTTTCATAATATGAACATGGTGCTCTGGATACAGATTACCACTCTCCCCTCAGTTTCCCAAAGTTTATATGGATTATAACGTTTTGTGACGTAAATAAAAAAAGCAGTAAAAGCTTGTCTTTTGTTGTAAAAGCTGTGCTCTTTCCGTTAGTTTACGTTAGTCTGATCGTGCGCAAAGCTCTGCTTGTTGGTGGGGAGGGAGATTAAAAGCAAGCAAACGTTGTAGGTTTTTTAAAGTAGAAAAACGCATCAAGTCTTTTAGTCAGGTTATTTAGTATTATTCCGAATCTATTTTAAAGGTTAGCTGAGAAAAAAACAACGAACTATTTGTGCATTGACAAAAAGGAGGTGAAGCGAAAGAAGGGTCGTTACTCAAAGCTGTCCCCAAAACAGAAGAGAGTATTGCTGTTTGCTGTTATCCTGTGGACAATGAAGGTGATCTCGAAAGCTTCTGACAAGAATCTATTCTTTAAAAAAAAAGACAGTACCAAATTTAAAAAAAAACAAAAAACACGCTAAGCAAAACAATACACAAAGAAGCCCCCCCCCCCAAAAAAAAAAATAGTAATAAAAAATAAATAAATAAAAACGAGGGCAATGACGTAACGTTACGCGTTCACGGTTAGATAAAGAAAAAGAAGAGTTTTGGTGGACAAGAAATCAAAATGTGGCTGCTTGGCCAAAACACAATACCGGTTTCTTATAAAACTCAGGGGGTCTTCTCACAACATTAGGTTGGAATGTTTCGGATTCCAGAGCCCAAAACGTCTACCCCGACCCAATTGCAAACAAAAAGCAGTTTTGTATACACAAGAAATGTATGTGTGTGTGTGTGTGTGTGTGTGTGTATGTGTGTGTGAGTGTGTGTCTGTGTGTGTGTGTGTGTGTGTATGTGTGTGTGAGTGTGTGTCTGTGTGAGTGTGTGTGTGTGTGAGAGAGAGAGAGAGGTAGAGAGAGAGAGAGAGAGAGAGAGAGAGAGAGAGAGAGAGAGAGAGAGAGAGAGAGAGAGAGATAATTCATTGCTAACTAATACACAAACTATGTCAACGAATGGGATTCTCGGAAAAGGGGGATTATAATAACAATAAGGACACATGTGAGCACATATGCTTGGTTCAAAGTTCCAGTTGACTTATGAAAAATAGAACGATCTTGTTACCAAAAGTAAGGTCGATAAAACGACAAAGAGCATAACAGTATAACTGAATTAAAGTTCTACTGTTGCATAATTAGAATGTAATAAATGAAATGTGACAGCATGATACCATCAGCTTGTAATGGGTATGCAGAAGAACGCTGCCTATGGCTGAGAAAAAAAAAAGAAAATAACGCCAGGAGTGTATAGAAAATAATCAACCCAAGGACAACAACCTCCAATGAAAGCTAAAAAGCTTCACTCAAAGAACACATATAGCCTTCGAGACAATGCAAGCTGTAAAAAGGTATGTGTCTTCATACAAGTAAAAAAGAAGTAACGACCAGGCCTTGATAACATTTAGAACTTAAGAGGAGCAGTCAAAACAGCAATTTTGCATCAAAGTTGATTTTATTTTATCAAAAGCGGTCTCCATTTGAGACCAAAAAGAAAAAGTTCCAACAAACAACAACAACAATAACAAAATGTTGCAATAAAACTACTGCAATCCATCAAAAACACGTTTTCTAAGCAATGACAAAATTCACAGTGCCATTGCACAATTCTCTTTAGCACGTTCCACGTACCCCAAGAGTTTGTCCCTGTCGGTAAATCGGTGTTAGAGGTACATGATTCCGGTGGCCAATGAACTGATCGCTCATTGGACGAGAGCCGCCGTATGTCACGTTCTTTTTAGGCCACGTATTTGTTGCCCAGGTCGGTTTGTCAGCTGTTTCTGCAGCCTGTCATCAGACAAAGCTCGGTTTTTGCATTGGGTTTTTGACCTCAAAGAAATGCGAGTGACCTCTATAGTTTTTAATTTAGAACAAAAAATCAATAGCTTGGATGAAACGGGAATATTTGGATAACTAGTGTGTTTTACACGTCACATTTATTTACTAAAGTATTGCATTCATTCTGTTACGCTCAAATGACTGAAACATTGCTTTTATTTACAATAGTTTATACTTTAGGCCTGAATTTGGTCTTTAAAAAAATTAATAATAAATGAAGTAGATCGAAATTACAACTGAAAACTTTTATCACCAATGGAAAATAAAAGTTCATTCGTTTGACTAAAAACAAAAGGGGCTTTTGTTTCTTGTTGCTTCTATTAGTATTCATATAATTAAACGAAAATCATAACGTTGTGGAATGTTCTTTGAATAGAGCAACATTCTGTCAACACATAAACGCTACCTCTCTGGGGGAGATAACTTCCGGCAATTTAACATCGCCCAGTTTTGTTTTGCTACAAGCCAACTTGTTTTGGTTCATCAGCTGAAAATCATGTCTGTAAAGAGGTGTGAGGGGCACGTGGCTTCTATGTGGAATGAACACTCCGCTGTCTCGAAAAGGTCCAGGGTAGCTCCGTCTAAGGTGTGACCGTTGAAAGTTTGACCGGAATCTCAAGGGAACAATCTCCCTGGAATGTGTACGATTATCCTAAAGGATATCAAAGTTTCAAATTATATAATATTGTTAATGGAACGGAATAAGCGAAGCACGTCATCAAGACAGTTTACTCTATCAAGTATCTGGGTTTATTAGAAACTATTTTAGATAAATAAATCAATAATATTGTTATAAAATATAAACAGTTCTTTAACAACTCTTGTCCCAACTCTGAAGCAAGTACTATGTATTTTATACTATATATTTGCATTACTCCCTGCAGATCCTTGAACTTTCAAAACTATTCCTGACTTCCTGGAGGGCATACAATGCAAGCAGCTGATTAAGCGCTCAAATACTAACACACTTTTGCTGTTTATAGGGGAACAGCACGATTCAGCGCTCTTTGTTGAAAATTTTCCCACGGCAAGGAACACCATCTCTTCAGCTATACTATACTGCTGTCAAATATTCTTGGCGCAGCTTATCCTCAAATATTAATGTCACCCAATCTTTGCTTAGCAGCTTGTATCAACTTGTCTCGATTTAATTATACTTTTCCACAACAAATGATGTTAGATTAAAAAATTTCAAAAAATGGTTTTTCTTTTAAAAAAAATAAAATGCTATAGATGTCGGTCACTCGGAAAATGGGATTGCTCAGCACAGCACTTCCTGCTTTTCACTCACATTATGGACGTCATCCCAACCAAACGAGGCGCGTTGTGTCTCGTGATCAGTGGACACGTGTTCCGTCGTGACAGGCTACGAAATTGTTTTCTTACTCTGCCCTGCTGCAATACTGGCTTTGAATTGAGATACATTACCAATCTCAGCCAACAAAATCTACAGATGCCGCCTTCTGAGCAAAACACTAAGTACCAAATTTTAATGAAAAGGGTATAAGCTTGATGTGTGTTCGGACTCTTGTTATAAAAAAAGCAGCTCTGGCAAGTCCATCCGAGAGAGACGACCCCATCTTTTTCCCAAGAAGCCAGTGCTACTTCTTCTATTCCCAACTCTTACAAACACTTGTTGACAACATGTAACTAAAACTGTCAAATGCTTTGCCTATGAACCGTGATGGAGTTCTGAAAAGCACTGAATTGTGGTTACATGTTGAGACCAGAAAATAGATTAAAGACACCATTTGACGTGTATTAACGATAGTCAGGGAAATAGCGTGGAGTCGCCGTTTATAGCAGGGTACTCATTCTAATCAGGATGGAGTGAGGAAAAATCATGTAAAATGTTTTTCTCTAGGACAGAATGTAGGGCCCCTAAAGGGATTCGAACTCACCACTTTATGCTTGTTAATCGTGAACCCCGTGGGTCACACCTTTATGCCCACAATGATGGCAAAACGCCAGTCTCGGTAAGTCAAGTTCACACGATACATTTCCCCTTTCCCCTTCATTTCAATCAAACGTAGCCAAAAGGATGCGCTCCATTGTGAACCGGAAATTAAGGTCAATGATAATATAGTGCATGTCTGATTTAGGCAAATTGGACTTGGAAATTATAACATTATTATTGTCTGTTTTGTTTATGTCTTCCTTATCTTCATTTTGATCGTTTAGGACTTTATTTTTATTGCAAATTAAACAAAGAACACCAACTTATTCGCCTTTTCTGTTCACTCCACATTTGAGACATAAGTACAAGTATATTTGGCTGCTGTCGGTCATTGTATGTGTGAATATTTTATCGAGTCATGGTTTATTTGCAAAGACAACACACCATTTATCAAGAACAGTGTCTTTCTTTCAAATATTGTCACACATCCTGAAGAGAAATAAATGTAATCATTCTTTTTTTAAACCACCAGAAAATCACGTACACTATTTTTAATAAACGGTTGTATATAAAAGAAGCTAGTATGTCGAAGCGCAACCGATGGACAAGAACAGATAATATTCTGTACCTCGGTGTTTTGAACTCCTACCCCATCGGTAGGCTTCCCATCAAAGAGATGCTGTTGCTGTTGCTGTTGCTGTTGATGTTGCTGTTGTGTGGGTGTCTCAGTGTCCCTGGGGCTAGGTCTGTACAGGGGAGAGTGTGGCACGTGACTGGTATGGTCAATGACCCTGGACATCTGCTCGTTGTACGCTTTAAACCCGTTGCTCATAGGATCACGTGCCTTATGGTGAGTCGGAAGGTCAAGGGGATCGGGGGACGCCATCAGCTGTGACATATCCAGGGCAGGAAGTGGGGGATTATCTGGGCTGTATGGGTGGCCAGCCTAGATTCCAGATGTTTTTTTGTTGTTGTTGTTGTTGTGGGCGTAGAGAGTTCAGACCAGGTGTTGTGCTCAATGAAATGCATTGATGAGAACTGTCACTATCGAAATTATTGCTTTCCCTACTTTTCAAATCCCCCTGTCGCAGTCCTTTTTAGTCATACAGCTTTTGGAAACTAAACAATATTCTTTAGTTATCTAAGTAACAGGATTACATGACAGTCTCCTGGTTTAAGCGGTCAATCCTCCCCTTCCATCCTACCCCACCCCACTTCTCTGTTTCCTCACTCCATATTGAGACACGAGTTGGTTTATGTTACATAGAAATATCCCAAATGTGTCAATTATAATTCTAAGTCGGGAAACGCTGTGATGTCCCTGTACTTTTCGATTTTTTTTTAAACTAAAGAAGGTTGCGAAACAGAAGTCATTTAGTCGTGGAAGAGTAGGAATATGAGAGAATGCTAAGATCGGAAGTGTTGAGAACTATAAGCGGGATAAAAAGTCAGTGCTGAAAAAAGTGCGCATGGAAATGAAAGCAGACTTCAAAACTGTGAGTAGGAAATGAAGCGAACAAGTGTGAAAAAGGTGCGTTGCAGCTTCTAGGGTGAGTCACACTGTACTGCGAGAGATTCTACAACAACCAACTCGTGGATACCTGAAGACCATCGTCTCTCGTGTGTTGCTCATCCAGTTGTAGTTTCACTGCTGGGACGTATGGCGTCTGCTGCCGGGATAGTTGTGGCGGTGGGGATGTCGGCTGAGGTGATTGTGGTGGTGGTGGTGTCTGCTGGGGTGGTTGTGGTGGTGGTAGTTGTTGGGGTGTGTCTGGGGCTCTGGGTGGGGCAGCCCCAGGTTTGTACATGGGTGAGCTGGGCACATGCTGGCTGTGACCAACAGTAACTCTCGGACGCTGCCTAACTTCCTTTAGAGAAAATTATGTTTTGATGACTATAATTGTAACTGTATTTCCTTCGTATCAGAAAAACCTTTAACTCTCAACGGTTTTCGAGTTCGACTTTTTTTTACAGACAACGTGTGTAGTCGAAGGAAACCCCCCCCCCCCCCCCCCCCAATTTAACATTTAAACAATACTTCCCGAAGCTCCACCATTTTTAACATAGAGGGGACACATAAAACTTAATTAATATAATAATAATGATAAATACATAAAACTTAATAACCCCTTTTGCATATCATTTATTTTTTTAAAAATTGTTGTAACTGTTAAATAACGTATGATACCCACTTATCATTGGCCTAAATATTGTAAATAGTGTCTTGTCTGGTGCATATTATGCTCTCTAACACTCATCAGTACTCTGATCTTGACTTTGCACGATATGATCTCTAACACTCATTAGTATTCGGATTTTGCCTTTGTGCAACTATATGCACACGTACGCTTGTAACAACAGGGAAAGCGGATATAATCTAGTATTTATTGTTGAAATAGTCACAAATGTTAATTATTTTTATCTCTTTCAACTATAAGATCAACTCTCTGTATTGGGATCGTTATGGTCTTGAATTAAATACGGTACATTATCAAAAGTGGATGTTTCTTTGCTCTTTAAATCTCTGTACAGGATCAAACTTGCATGGCTGACTCAGTGGACATTTAAAGACTAATATCCGAAAAGATATCGCGTAATAAATTATTAAAAATTATATACCGGCATAGCATGTATAATATGATTCAGCTTAGCTTAACTTTATTTCCAATCGCATGTGGAGAAAAGAAACTATGTCCCCGTGTGCTTTTTTTTAAAATGAAGAATGATTCAAATTCAGAATGTCTGGATATTAGGTTCTATAGAACTTATCATTAATTAATATTTGAATGCATAACCTTTATCATCTGTGATGTTGACCTAACTCCCCATTGTATTCCTGTACGACTCTGTGAACACCTACCCCAACTGTCCCCGTCTCCCTCCTCCTGTGGCTGGGTAGAGCAAGGACTGGCTGAGGTTCCCCTCTGTACGTGTCAAACACCGCGGACAACTGGTTGGTCGCCCTCCTTATCTCGTTTTCTCTCATCTTTTGGGTCAACCAAGCAGGGTCTTTGGATGTCTCACCCTGTGACCACATCAGGCGCCGTCCAGTTAGCCGTGTTCAGTTTAAAATGCAGCTTATACCCACTCTATCCATTCGTTAAGATAGCTCATTATTATGTACAGGTAATCCCCCCCCCCCTTTTCCCACCCTTTTCCACTAAACTGTCCGTTTCATGCTAAAGACCCAATATAGTATCCAAAATCCAACTTGGTACTTATCTATGTTTTCGATTGAAAACCTCAGGGTTGGAGACAGCAAGGGTTATATTCTCTCTAGTTGTCTTTTTTTAGGTATGTAAACTCACACTCAAAAACAGTTGTATAGGAAAAGATAAGTATCCTCAAAAATACTCTTGTCCAAAATTGTATGTTATTTCTGCCTTATTGACCTGTTGTTTTCAATTCAAAACAGAGAAAAGTAAAACATGTAAGCTGTGCTCTTACTGAATTGGACTCATTCCTGGACCGTTCGTATCCGTAATGGCCGTGTCTGGGAATCCATGAATTGCTATACATCGAGATTCTAGAACAAGCTATAATTGGTAAACGAGCTAAGCAACACCAGATGTTCCCGTTCAGTTGACGCAGGTTCCAGTTTCAGGACACACATTAATTTTTAAAAAAAACTAAGTTAGGGTTTACTATTCACTGGAATGTTTTGAGTCACCCTTTTCTTACTGAACGAATGTCAGATCAAAGTACATTAACATTTAGGTAATACACAGAATGAATAAATATATGGCGTCGAGGTGAAATCAGGCGATTGTCATATATTTTTTTTATTTTATGGTTTTGCCCAACACTTTGTATGCTCAATTACAAACACATACCAGTACGTAGTTTGCTGAAACACATTGATCGAAGGTATGAAAAATGTAAATCTGTAGTTTGCATAGACACTCAAGCTTTGGAAGCCACCAAACTTTGGCAGCTATTTATTAGTTTATTATGTTTTTGAAATCAGGTAACCACATTTTCCCTCAATCGCAAATTGATATATTGACTTTATTTCAACATGGTTGGGCATTTTTGTATCAAAAGCAAGACTCATAAACTCTAGGATGATACCAGTAACCCCATAAGTCCAAAATTTGACAAGCGCCTGATTCCACCATTTCATAGGACAAGGGGGTCATAAAACTTCAGTGAGCTTTACAACAAGGTGCAGTTTGAAAACGCATTGAAAAAGGGAAACTGATATGATAAAAGGTAAACTTCAGAATCCAAAGCGAAAAAGCAAGCAAATTACAATACAAAAGTATGTTAAAGCCTTAGTAATTTGTTAGGAAAATACTTAGACACTACAAGGACAACAATGTGATCAATCATAAAGGACGTCATATTAAATTTGATCAAATTTATAGTGTCTGATGGATTTGTCAAAACATCTATTGGACATAATAGAATTTAGATACAGTTCACGATGCCGACAAAAAAAATTCATAGGTGGCCTAACAGTGACATGAGTAAAAGCTTGTCTCGAAGAAAAAAATCTCCATACAGGGTTTTTTTTGTGGCGCAAAGAATAAAATTATATCGTTCTAATAAGCTGATTTCTGAAAAGCTTTAAGCTCATAATTTTAATATCAACACGATTCGAGGTTGAGGCCGCTTTGGCTCTGCCTCGTGGGGCCGGCCCAGGCAAAGACGATCTACATCAATGAGAAAAAAGAGAACGGAAGATACTCGATACGCTGCCTTCACCAATTCAGAAATCAAACGCCAGGCATTTGCTTGTCAGGCAAAGAGCCTTTTGAAATTTGAGCATTTTATTGTCGTTTATCATATTCTTTTAATTTAAAAGTTACATCATATAGATAGCGAGTTTACCAGAAAGAGATACAAAAATAAAAACAAACACCAAGGAAAACAAACTAAACAATCGCCCATACATATCGAAAGAGAACGAAAAGAACTTTCACGACATTAACATGCTATCCTCAGAACAAGAAATCACACCCAAAATGTGTCCAGTTAGAGCTATTACTACCATCTGGCGTACGTGTGGTTGCAAACCGAAAAGCTATGACCACCCACTGGGAGTCGGTGACCAGCCCACGAACAAAAGGGTATCACAGTAGTAGTCTTATCTTTAGGAGGTCGTGCTATTAAACGCAGATTAAGTGTAAATCATTCCACAGATAAATTGCTATGCAAATTCGTTTCCTTAGAAATACAAAGTTCTATCTGCTAAGTATTTAGTGTTAAGAAATTTGAAATTTTAAAACAAATGAGTTTCACAATATTGTAAGCTTTCCGAACGCAATTCTTTGAAAAATCTTGAAAACGACACCAAATAATCTTCAGATTTTGATAGAGCAGATAGAACATTTGGCTTCTGACTTCATGGTTTTAGTAACTCAAAACTAAAAAAGGGTAAAAAATGACAGATATAACTTTGTAATTCTATAGAAACGAAATACCACCGAGCAGTGAATGAAAAGGGTGAATCAAGTACTACATAACAAACGTATTTTGAAAATAACTAGGCTAAATAAATGAGAAAATAAGTTTTGTAATAAAAGAGTAAACAAAAATCACACTGTAATCAACAATACAGAAATAGTATTAATAGTGTAGGAATACATTAGAAAGACGATAAAAACAAATGGTGAGCGAAAAAAAATGTAAAACTTGAGAAATTTAAATACACAGACAGACTTTTAAAAAGGCTATAACACGACTAATTTCGCTAACCTTCTCTAGGACAATGCACAAATAGACTTAATCCACTTTCTTATTCGATGTGCACAAACTTTTTTTGAAGTTGCCTACGTACAAATACTTAAATCACAGGGTTTTTTCATACTATTCAAACTCCTCATAATCCAGAGTACTTTGTTCTCTTTGAGAAAAAGAAATACATATAATTGATTGATTGATTTGTCTGTATGTGTGTGTGTGTGTGTGTGTGTGTGTGTGTGTG